TGCACACACGCACACACACACACGCACGCACACACACACAAACACGCACACACACACACACACACACACACACACACACACACACACACACACACACACACACACACACACACACACACACACACACACACACACACACACACACATGACCAAATAAGGAGTGAGAGTGACGGGCGGGTAGCCCAAACAGGAAGCTGTCATACACTCTGGAAGCTATCATTAGCAGCTAATATAAAATCTCCGTTTTTGACAGAAAAATGGAATTATGGATTATCAATAATGTTTCAAAGTGACAGACACATTGGATTAGCCTATGGATTAACCTTCAGCCTCGTTTTTCTCGTTTTATTGCGATTGAACAAAAACTTTTGATCAGAATAACAGCTAAGGTGAGCATATCTCCGTGTTTTGCTACCTAAAGCTACGTCGTGTGTTGTCTGTATTTGCTTCCCCTGTCGCGAGTTCTGATCGTTCAGTGATGATACTTATATTTCTAGAATCTGTGGAATCTCAGCATGTTAGCTAAGCTTGTTTGTGCAGATCCGATAAGTATATCGATCGATCCATATCTAGAGTTTTGTGCTAAGTGCGTTAGCATGTTTTCGCTCAGGGCTCATTCTCCAGAGTTTCTTCCCGTTAGGAGGGTATGACACATTCATAGTTTTTTAAATATTAAGAAGCCCAGAGACACAGTGTCGTGAAAAAAAGAAAGTCTTAGGGGCTTAACAGGTTAATTCTAATCCTGGCTAACCCTAACCCTAGAAAAATGTCTCTTGTGATCCAGACTTGGATCAAAGGAGTCCAAAATGCTGTTAAGTTTTTACCCAAATCCTATAAAAAGTGTTGACATAACATGACCTTGTATAGTTGTATTTGACTAATTTGTAGTAAGTACGTATGTATTTAATTTGCACTTTAGTGCTGGCAGACAATGCATCCAAGTTTATCTACAGTTAATTTGACTGAACACACTGAAAAAAAAGGTCTTTAAAAAGTCAGGATATATTGTCAGCAAATTAAAACAGTGGTACAGTAGCTATTTAGACTAATTTAGACTTGCTAGGTTATGGCTAATTAGTCTGTCGCTAAATAGTTAGCATTCATCTAGCATCCACGGTGGATACAGGTATTACAACTACAGAATTAGCCTTTAGCTGACTTCACAATAATCTTAAAATATTCTAGTAGGAGTTAGGGTTGGGATTTTTAGCATTTTTCTGATGAGTTTCTATAAGCTACGTTCTCCAAATTGCTGGAAAAATGTCTGCCGAGTAAAAAAAGGGCAAAGCTTTATACAAAGAAACCTATTAGCTTCACCACTTCATACATAGTAATATAATCTTATACCAAAGTAATACAAAGAATAAACACACAGAGTCGTAGGGTTTAGATTAGAGCAGTGAACATTTATATCATAATTTACACTTTTGGACATTTTTGCACATAAATAACTATGTAAACCAGTATGTAAACAGAGACAGTCCTTTAGTGGATTCTCCTCTGGAGTTAAAGCTCTGATCAGAGAAAGAGATGCTTTGGTCGAACATTAGTTAGAGAGAAAGAAAATGAAACGGAGTAAAGAGAGAGAGAGATAGCGAGCTACAGAGTTCAGGTTGTTGATGTACAACTGCTGCAGAAAATCACAGTTGCTTTTGTAACATTAAGTTGACTCTTAATGCCATTATGACCAGTTTCAGTGATATTGTAAACAGTGTAAATGGTGCAAGCATCGGCACTGAAGTTATAAAGTAGGAGGAGTAGAGAGGGGGGGGGGCCAGTGCATAAAAGAAGGCCGAGGTGCTTTGGTGTATGCCAGTTCAACACGATGGCGGACGGTGGGGTTTAAGAAGGGGCCATAGCTTCTCAACTGAAATATTAACAAAAAATAAACAAAACATCTACAAAAAACCACAGCGAAAGAGTGAACACTTCATCGTATACACACACAGTAAATCTCCCCTTCTTCAGCATTTTGATTCCTCAAGTCCTTCTTTTCATTTTCCTTTCTTGTATTTTTTGGTGTGCATTTGAATTTTAAAGCCAAGTGTACTTTGGTAACTAGCGTCAAGCGTGAATCCCAAAATCGGAGGGAATTCACTTCCCTGTCGGGGGGGTTGACAGTGTTGTTAGAAAAATGAAACGAAAGGAGGGACTCGGCGACTAGCCAGCCTCCCGAGTCCTTTATGTGCTACATGTTGCCGCCTCGTTTGGACCAAGCCAAGAGCTGCAGTCCAGTTCAGTTTGGTTTCTTCTTCTTCAAGTAGCAAAAACGCAAATAAATAGAAAGCTCCCACCTTTAGCTGTCCCTTTAAAACACACTCACAAACACACATACTCTCATATCATCACATGCACACTGAGGTAACCGTTGTAAAAAATATACAAAACAAATGCCCTTTTTTGTTTCAAATTAAATTAAGTAGGCATCAGAAAAAGGACACAGACATACTTTAGGGAAGCTATGAAGCAGGGTTGAAATAAAGCTCTTCTTGGTAAATTAACAAATTCATGTGCCCCACTTTGGCAAGTTTTTCAACCCTTTCTTTTAACCTGCAATATTGGTTTCTAAATCTTACATCGATAAAACCCTGAAGAGTGGACACCCCTGGTTCTATAGGTCAGAGGCGTCATGACGGACGGCATAGAGAGAGTGACTACAGAGTAATGGCCACAGAGAAATACAAAAACAGAAAATACAAGTATTTTACATTGATTTCACCCCGTCAGTGTAACCATCCCTTCCACTTATTGCGTTTGAAGACAACAAATAAAAAGTATAATAAATTAAGGAGGTTATATAACAACTAATTGATCAACAAAAAAAACAAAAACATTTGAAAATAGAGACCAAATAATACAACAACAATAATTATAATAGCATTATATTAATTACATTAAAGGGTAGATGATTGTCTCTAAGTATAATAAACGCTAAGTAGTCATGGGACAGTGTCTCTTGAGCCCTGAGTACGCGAGTCCCTGAAGACCTGGTGCGAACAGGAAGTCACTCCTGAACCAGGTAATTACGAATTTACAGCGGTTGCTCCTGGCAATGAAGTCTTTGAGTCTTAACTCAGTGTCTTTTGGGGTTAAACGTCACTTAAGCGTGATCCTCCGACTCCTGCTTGACGGTGACGTTGGCAGGGTGCGGCAGGACGGGGCTGCTGTTCAGCATCTTGATCACCGACGTCTCATTCGGGGAATCGTACGCACCGTAACCGGCAGAAAGAAGGTCGTTGGCGCCGCCCTTGTGGTGGGGATGGAAGTGAGAGGACTTGAGGTCGCTCTCCCTCCACAGAATCCCCAAAATCTGCTTCTCCAAAATGGCCTCGACCTCCGCGCCGCCCTGGAGCTGCTCCAGCTGCTCGGCGTGCTCGCTGACGTCGAAGCGCTCGATCTCCTCGTTGGCGCGCTGTACCTCCTCCGGGTCGCCCTGATTGGACGCCGTGGGGCAGTAGCCCTTCAGGTGAAGCCTCAGACTGCACAGGTGGATGTAGTGGCGGTGGCAGTGGGAGCATTTGTGCGGGCGCTCGCGGGAGTGCAGGCGCTTGTGCAGCTTGAGGTGGACGAACTGGGTGAATTTTGCCGGGCAGAGCTTGCAGTGGTACGGCTTCTCCCCCGAGTGCAGACGCAGGTGAGTCTTCAGGTTGCTGGTGCTGCTGAAGCGCTTGTGACAAACCTGGAAGAAGAAAAGAGACAAATGTCAACACCTTGTAGCAACAAGCAGAGGTGGGAAGTAGTGGAGTACAAATACTTTGTTACTTCATTTTTCTGGTGTCACTACTTTACTCCACAACTTATTGTTCTGATGACTTTTTACTTTGACTTCTTACATGTTGAACCCAAATACCTGTACTTTCTACTTCTTACACTTTGAACACTAATACCTGTACTTTCTACTTCTCACATGTTGAACACTAATACCTGTACTTTCTACTTCTTACATGTTGAACTCAAATACCTGTACTTTCTACTTCTTACATGTTGAACACTAATACCTGTACTTTCTACTTCTTACATGTTGAACACTAATACCTGTACTTTCTACTTCTTACATGTTGAACTCAAATACCTGTACTTTCTACTTCTTACATTTTGAACACTAATACCTGTACTTTCTACTTCTTACATGTTGAACACAAATACCTGTACTTTCTACTTCTTACATGTTGAACACTAATACCTGTACTTTCTACTTCTTACATGTTGAACACAAATACCTGTACTTTCTACTTCTTACATGTTGAACACAAATACCTGTACTTTCTATTTCTTACATGTTGAACTCAAATACCT